ATCTCTGCTTCATGCATTTTATACTAGGAAGGATCAACATACAACTGGCCAGGTTAAGAGCATTTCCTTCATGCTGACTTGCAATTCTGGTTCTAGAACATGAGTTGAGCAAACATATTTGAGTGGAAATAAAAGAGATTTGACAAATATCTTTAAATATGTTGCCCGATGTATAAAGCTTATGACTAAGAAAAAGCTCTGTTTTTAAATCTAATTTTTATTTCTTAATTGATTACTTTTGCTCTCTTTGTTTTTCTTAAAATGGAGGGTGAAATGTTAAATTAGTTGATGTTATTAAGAAAGCCGATAGATAATAGCAAATTCAAATGGGACCTAAAAATAAGGATTTTAAATGTGAGATTTATAAGTAAAAACATTGGTCACAAAAGATTTTATTATATTTAAACTTCTCAAGAGCTATCATTTCTTAAGTTTTTCTAAACTTCTTCGTAAATATTGCCTCAAATCAATTGGTTAGGTGTTATAATAAAAGATTAAAACTAATAAATAAGATGTTTATTTTATAGACATTGTGAGATAAGAAAGAAAATTGACCTGATTTGCCAATACTTTTCTAAGCAATCTTAAGCAAATCATTTAACCTTCTGGACCTCATTGCTTCTTTATCTAAAAAATGTGATTTTCTAGATAAGCTCTAATATCTCATAAATTCCAAGTATATTACCTCTTTTTTGATAAAGAGTTGAGTTCTTAAATATTGACATATCACTAAAGCTGCTTTTCGAGTCCCATAATTTTGTAATCAATGATCTAAAATTGTAGCCTTAGAGGTAGAAGTGGTGACAGCTATTGAAGGGAAGAGGTCAGCTTGGAAAACAACTTTTTCCTTAAAAATTTTCTTTTTCTCTGGAACATAGGACTCTTTGCCAATGAAGACTGATTTCTAACTTGTAAAATGAAATGACTTACTGGGGAACATGAAGGACTTGACTTTTGGTCTTCCATCTTTCATCAGTCAGTTTGAGTGCTCTTTGAGAGCATTCCTGAATATGTGAAAGAAGACATGACTATTTCCCTATTTCCCAGAGAGTGAAAATAGCATTTAGAAATCTCTAGGAATGAGAAGTTATTTATTATTAGTTAATAATGGTAATGAAATCAGAATATGAATTATACAGAGTGTCAGTTCTGGCCTCTTAATTTTATGAGATGTGAAACAGTTAGAAAAAGAGATGCTTTGCTAGTATGCATAATAAGAAAGATTAATATTGCACAAAAAATTTGGTTGAAAGCTAATGTCATATTTCTCTCGAAATGTAAAAGATAAAGATTCCCAGAGTGTGAAAAGTATTTTGGCAATTAGAGGTATTATTAGGGTTTATTTTTTCTTTATTATAAAAATTATGTAAATTGCAAGATTTTTGGAAAATATTTAAACTTAGAATGATACCTTAAAATTTTAAAAATTAGCATTAACAGATTTCTTTTAATAAAAGTAACTAGCTTTCCAATGCTAAAATAGGAGTTATAACTCAAGATGTCACAAAAATGGAAAAGTTAATAGAGCCTTTATGTAAGTCCCTTAAAGAAAGATGTTTCAATAGTAGTATAACTTTATTAGATTTAAAAAATCAGCTATGTCTGGGGAATTTTTAGGAATCTTCTCAGCATTTAAAAATAAGTCTAACAAATATATATGTTAAGAAAGTAAATAATCTATGCCTATCTCAATTTAAAATAATTTTATTTAATACTATATAATGTGTATAGCATCTAATGATGCATACAGCTGAGAAAGTGTGATATATTATATTGTAATTTATGCTTCACCAAGCGTTTTCTAATTGTTTTATCTAGGGCCCCAAAGGAGATCCAGGATTTTCCCCAGGTCAAGCTGTTTCTGGAGAAAAGGTATTTATTTGTCCGTGAAATAATATCATGGTGATATATTTCAAGCATTTTAAAATCCTTTTTTTCTTCTTCTTCTCCCCAAAGCCCTCCAATACATAGCTGTATATTCTAGTTGTAGGTCCTTCTAGTTCTGCTATGTGGGATGCCGCCTCAGCGTGGCTTGATGAGTGGTACTAGGTCTGTGCCCAGGATCTGAACTAGTGAAACCCTGGGCCGCCGAATCAGAGTGCATGAACTTAACCACTTGGCCATGGGGCCAGCCCCTAAAATCATTTTTAAATGTAGAATTTACAGGGTATCAGACAGAGACGATAGAGAACTATTGGATTTTGATGAAGGAAGAAATATTTGAAGAATTAAGTGAATTATATCATCAGCTTAATTTATCAATTTAAATCTTAATATTAATTTTATTGAGTGTCTACTGTGGCCTACCATCATACTACCTGACAATTAGGGATGAGTGAGGCAAAAAATTAGAGCAAGATGTGGTCCTAACATAAAAAATTTGCTCTTGATATGCATGTACACAATAATACATAAATTCCAATGCCATTTTACACCTTTTTTAGGATAGTTCCACATTCTTTATCTTGTTTAAGTCCCACAGTAACTGTGAGAGAGGCAGTCATTATTATCTTGTTTTCCAGTTGAGAAAACAGAATTCATAGAATTTAATTGACTCATGGTATGTGGCAGAGTTAATGATATATTTAAGTTTTCTGATTTTTAGTCCAGTATGCTTTTGATTTTATCATAATGCTGTGAAATAAACAAATATTTAGGTAAAAAGAAACTACCATTTTAAAGTAAAGATAGCAACAAAATCTTTATTAGGAGGAGGATTCGGTTTTCCAGTGAGGATGTCTACAAATGGAGTCTTTAGGAATACATCTGGGAAGCTTTATTTACACAAGCACTTGATGAATGTGATACAATTATAGGATGTTTTTGTTTAGGTGGTATACAGTCACAAACTTTTAAAATCCCTGAATAATTTTGGTTTCTAGGTTGAAATCTGATCTTTTAATTGGCTTACAGAAACTCTGGTAAAACTTAAAAAGACATCACATTATCTTAATGGACTTTACAGATATACTAACAAGTAAGTCCACAAAAAAAAATTTATCTAGAATCTTAAGAACTTTATTGCTGTGATGTAACTGAGGTCACTGAATCTAAATAATTTAACAAGGCAATGGAAGTTTACTATTACGAACACAATATTTTCATTGGCCCCTTAATTATTACAAGTAAAAAAACAACCTTGCAATTTCAGAAAGAAATATAAATGCCATCTTTTAAAATATCTAAATATAGGACATTTAATTTCTTACTTAAAATTTAGAAATCAGGGGCTGGCCCAGTGGTGCACTGGTTAAGTTCACGTACTCTGCTTTGGCCACCCAGGGTTTGCAGGTGCAGATCCTGGGTGTGGACCTACACACCACTCGTCAAGCCCTGTTGTGGCAGGGTCCCACCATACAAAACAAATAGGAAGACTGGCACAGGTGTTAGCTCAGGGCCAATCTTCCTCATGAAAAAAAAAAAATTAGAAATTAGAGGTCCACTCTGTTTTGGTGATTGCTTTTAAATAAACTCCTCAAATTAAACATTCACATTTATATCAAATGCTTGGTTTTATCTTTCCTTGTGGCTTTCCTGTACAAAATACAGTGGTTCAGTATGTGTACAGTATCTGTATATTTACAATATAGGGTGGCTCAGCATGGGAGTTAAGGGTTGGAAGTATGTCAGTCTTTTTTTACTTTTTGAATTACTCATATACTAATTGTGGTTAATGCTATGCAGGAGAAAAGTAGTAAGATATAGGATTTAATAGTATGCTGCCATTGAGCTTTAAGTAACTTTTAAAACTGAGAGATCTATTTCTAAAATGGTAAAATTCAAAAACTTTTCTTAGAAATTGTATTACAAGGCTGGCCCTGTGGCCTATTGGTTAAGTTTGGATGCTCAGATTGGGTGGCCTGGGTTTGCTCGTTTGGATCCTGTGCACTAGCCTACACCATTAGTCAGCCATACTGTGGCTGAGACCCACATAAAACAGAGGAGGACTGGCACAAATGTTAGCTCAGGGCTGATCTTCCTCACCAAAGAAAAAACAAAGGAAAGGAAAGAAATTATATTTACAGTAAATTGGGTTCAAATATCTGCGGATGCAGGATATTAATTATATATATACACAAATGAATACAAATAAATACAAACATTGGTGGGAGTAGAGGGAGATTGGGAAACTGTGTTTTATTTTTAACCATTTAGCCATTTTTACAATAAATATATGGTTAATGATGAAACACTAAAAGAAATGCAGGGGCTAGTCCTTCACTATGTAACATCCACTAAGTAACATCTCTCATACAGCATACATAAGTGTTTAAGCCCTTTTGGGACCTCAATGACATGCAAAAATAACTTTTAAATAGTGGTAATTTTTCTTTTCCCACATGTGAGATATTATTATTGTTCCCATTTTTAGACGGGGGAACTGTGAAGGGAGAACAAGTGATCCACCCACAATTAGAGCTAGTGGAAGGAGATGAGCCTCCTGTCTCCTAGTGCAGCTTCCCTTCCCAGCCCCCCATCAGAGTAATAAATGTAAAAAAAAAAAAAAATCTGTATAAATTGGTCATCCCATTGTCAATGGAAGCCATCTTAAAGATATGTTAAGAAGCATTGAAATGAATATTAGAACAAACGGAAAAGCATTCCATTGCTAATAATCAGAAACATCCTTTTCTCTGCTGATTGTTTAATTTGATGACATACTCAAGTAGAAAAGGCACTAAAAATTAAACAACATTAACAGTCGCTAAGGAGTTTAGGATTATTATCTAAGTACTCCTTTTTTCTTTCAAACAACACTACGTTTTTCACGCACGATAAATTTGTCACAGTGCAAAGGGAGAGAAGGGAGGTAAACGGAAAGTGCACCTGGTGTACACTGGCTCAAGATTACCCCTCCTTCCTTTTTGACATGTTTTTCCTTGTCAATTCACACAGCCTCCTCTGTGTCTCTCCTCGTTGCTTCCACCCGCCACAGACACTCCTTCCCCCTCACCGGTACACTTTCTCCTCCTACCGCAAGATGGGCTCCGGGCTCTTACCAGAGTCAGGTGGAGGGAGAGGCAGCCGGCCCGAACCGGCGAAGTCTCGTCTGTTGGAGCCAAGCACACGATACTTCTAAGAAATTTTCCCTGGAGTTACTTCCCGGTGGTACCGCAGAAAGCACCAGCACCGCCCCGGAAGCGGAAGTGACCCTTTCCCTGGTGTGCCTCGTGAACCTAGCCCTGCCCCCTCACAGCCCTGCGTCGAGGTTCCGCGTCGGAGTCCCGCTAGGCTGCAGGTCTTCCCTGAAAAGGGCAGGCTTGAGCCCACCACGGATGCCCCACAAAGCGCTTGTAGAATTTTTAAGTAATCTCTGAGTTTTTTAAAACAGGGTCAACTTTGGAACGACAGGAGCTTTGGGAGTAAGGGCATTCCTAGAGAAAAAAACATCAGAGAAAAAGGAGCGGGGCATGGAGGTGGTGTAGTACAGTGCAGGTTTTCAGCCCCGCAAGAGAGAAATGCTGGGAGCCTCGGAAACGGTCTCAAAAGGTGTCAGAAACGAGGTGAAACTTGAGCCAGATTGTGAAGATCAGACATGAGTGCGGTTAGGTCATGACGTCGAAGATGAAATCCTGCAGCAAGGGAATTCTAATTTTCAACTCTCTTTCATAACACTAAATCTCTATTTGTGTTTTGTTCTTAGGGTGACCGAGGCCTTTCTGGATTAATGGGGCCCCCTGGTATGCAAGGTGATAAGGTAAGAAGTTAGTTTTACTTTGACTTAATTGATGTCATATGGGTCTGGGAGCTCTTCAACTCCTAAAATCTCATTTTGAAGTGGAGCCCAAAGCCAATGTTTTAAATTCCTTTTCTCAGCGAAAGGAATTAGTATGCTGCCCCAATCCAGGAAAGTGGTGACCACAGAAGGCAGGGTCTTAGGAAAAATAAAACATTCAATTCAATTAATGGTGGGGAACAAAATTCACATGGTGGAGAAAGTAAAAAAATCACTGATAGAATATTGAAGCTTTTCTCTTTTTTTATTGTATTAAGGCAGTAACCTACTTCTGAAACTTTGAAGTCACTTTTTAACTTTTTTACGTCCAAAGTGAGGTACACTTGGTTATAGGTAATACATTTAGCCTTTTCTATGGGGTTCTCATTTTATTAGGAAATAATAATCTGTGCCGTGATATGTGTATGAATGTGAGGCCTGAAGGGTAGGGTCGAAGTGAGGATTGGGGATAACTCATATTAACACAAGTCTAGCATGTTAACACAGGTCTAAATTCTCCTCTATATGTTCAGCTTTTTTTCCTAAACACTGAGTTGTTTATCTTTACAGGCGATAAGGAAGACACAAAATTTCTTTCTAAGGTTTTACTGGCCCCGCAATATTGGAGGGCAATATTTGACTTGATGTGGATGTCTAAATACATATGAAAATGAGCTGTGTTGGTGTCTTAGTGTCGTATTCCTGTCCTCTTGAGAGCTTTAGGTTGGAGGAGGTATTTAGGGGCTGGTTACTTGGATCAAATCCCATCTGCCATTTTCTAGGTCCCATTGCCCTTGGATGGGTTGCTTAACCTCTCTAAGCTTCAGTTGCCTCTTCTGTGAAATGTGAAGATACTACCCACTTCATAGAGAGTTGTTGGGAACATGGAATGAGATAATCTATGCAGTACAGTGTCAGACAAATAGCAACCCCTAATAAATGTTAACCATCAGCTGTTTATCTGGTTTTGGATAGGATCCTGACCTTGTTTGCTTTCCTTCATAACCCCTGTTAAAGGACTGAATTGTAAAATGATGAAAAAGGTTTTGATCTCATGGAGTATGACCACACCACACCATTATTTTTATGGTCTTCAGACTACTCTTCATCCTAGATAGTACTTAGCATCTGTTAGCTCCTTTGAGGTTGTTGGTTGCTCCCATTGAGACGTGAAACTGCAGAGTGATCGTTTCTAACAGAATTGGTCTTGAAATACACTCACGAATCTATTTGATTAATGCCACTCAGTATGCCTCTGACCATTAAGTATTCCTCCAAGAAAACTGTACTGATGAATAGGATCAACAAAAAAGATCTCATAATACAGAAATTACCTTAATTGTGTTATTTGATATTCCATATATAGTTATTGCATCTGAAAGAATGACACTACATGTGAGAGAAAAATTATTACTTGCTAAGATTAAACAATGCCTGTGGTTCACGAAATTAGCAATGCAGAAAAGGAAACACTAAGTAAAGGGTGAGTGGTTACTATGCAGAGGAGCATATAAAGAATTATTGTCTCTGTGTTTGTAGAGACAATTTAAACAGGCTGATTTTTTTTCTTTCTGCTTTTTCTCCCCAAATTCCCGCAGTACATAGTTGTATATTCTAGTTGTGGGTCCCTCCAGTTGTGGCATGTAGGACGCCGCCTCAGCATGGCCCAACGAGTGGTGCCATGTCCGCGCCCAGGATCTGTACTGACGAAACCCCAGGCCGCCAAAGTGGAGCGTGTGAACTAAACCACTCGGCCATGGGGCCGGCCCCTAAACAGGCTGATTCTAACCCTTACAGCAGATTATCATTTTAACTTTGGAAGTATACTTACTAAAGACAGAAGATACTAGTTTCCAAAGACCGGTGCACATGCTATCTGAGTCTTGGCACATCAGTATTTTAAACTATTAAGATTAATATATTCTTTTTGGTCTGTGTAAGTCTAGTAAAGTGAAATAACTGTATTATTTTAAACAAAAGGGAACATGGATTGAGTATCTTTCACAGACTTTTTTTCTCTTATATGATTTTTTAAACTTTTAAAATCTGGCTTTTATAGTCACTTAATAGGAGTAGATCCTTTAGAAGCCAGGGATCTTGACATATTATCAATTAGCAGCTGTAGCTGAATTTTCTCCAGAGAAGGTTTAGTTGAAAATATTTAGAAACTGAATTACTTCCTGATAAATGGTTTACTCTGGTTTGACAGTAGTTCAGAACAGTGTTGAAAGATTTGAGATGATTTTGTAGTTTTTCTGAGAATGTTTTCCCCCTTTTCAGAGTGTGTCTGTTAATGGAAACTATGTACAGATTTTTACAAAACAAATATTTCTGGAGAAAGGACATAAGGATTCAATCTAAACCTAAACTAATTCTCCACATAGCAGACTTGGGACAAGTTTCCATTACACCATCTATGTGCATGTCTTACTTTTATATGAATATACAATAGAAATACATTTAAAATGAGCTTGATGGACTATTCCCGTAGTTTGTATGGAAGGGGAAAGGGCAAGACCCATTATTGGGTAGAATGTTCAGGTAAGTTATGAGCTGTTTTTATGGACCTTACTAATTTTGGTTCATTTTTTGAACCACCTAGGTCACTCTCAGTTATTTCCTGCAAACAGGATCCATGCCAGGAGAATGGCTTATATTAGCTATACCTAAGAACTCCCATTTCCTTCATCCTTGCAGTTCTACCCCTAAAGTACTAGATGAATTCTTAAAGTCATGTGTGGAGAACACTGACAGCTTATGAAAACTGTTGAGATAAATAAACAGAAGATTAATATAAAAAACATTCTGAAGACTAAAATATTGAGACAGAAATAAAAAAGCAAGTAAATTGGCAGCAATATTTTTTTCACTCTTCAGTAGATGTTTTAGTTCTCTCTTTTCCTCTTTTTATCTCTCTCCCCCTGACTTTTTTTTTTTTTAACCAGTATTAACATCTTTAACAAGCAATGTGTTTCCCCAGGTTGACTGGTCACATTGCCTCAAGCTAGCCACTTTCATGTAACTCTTATTTTCCTAGGAATGAAGCATGTTTTCACTTCTCACTAAGGGTCTAAATTTGTGCCAAAAAGCAGATAAGTTGGATCCAGAGTGCATGCTGGGTTGGATGGATGACAAGCCTCATAATTCTGATCTTGGATTCCAGATGGATTTTTAAATTGGTTTTTAATATGGCTGATCAGTTGCTATATTAATATTGGAAGTCTGCAATTTAAAATTGTAAGAATATCAACAGTGATTTCAATCGGAGCAATTTTTCTAGGATCAAGAGGATAAGCCAGATGGGAGCAGTTAAGTACATCTTAGCATGAAGGTATAACTCAGAGCAATTGTGAACTATGATGTACACATTTTAAAGCAGATTTTTATGAATAATGTATGGCAGTATTTTTCTGAATATCAAAAAATACTAGCTACCATAGTTTAGCGATAATTATAAATCAGTTATTTAAAAAGAAATCTTTCCATTACATAGTAATGTACACAGTAAATGTCTTTATAAAGTTGGAAAGGAAAAACTGAACGCATCATAGTGGAATGCATTGTGATTTATTACTCCCTCAAAAGCTGTTTAAAGTAAGGACAGTACTAAGGAGCTACAACAATACTGAATGTCACTGAGAAGAACAATTAAAAAAAGCCAGGATTGGCATAAAATCAGTGCCTGGAGAGAGAAATAAGGAGAGTTCCATTGTTCCATAGTTAACTCTGTAGATAATCTTTTTACCTGCCCGTTATCTCTGTGAAACTCTGCAGAGCTACGTTTTACTTTGGGTTGGTTCCTGATTCAAGTGTGGTACTGAAAGTCTAATGCAGATGCTGCTGCTTAGGGGCTGTGCTGTCACCACTGTTGCCATCTCCCGTGCAATCCACCATTCCCACTAATGGTAGGGGAAGCTGAGAACAAGGCAACACGGTACTGAAATCCCCCACAGGCAAGCCAATGGTTGCTAAAGAGGTCTAATTTGTGGGACTTTGAAAACTTCCCTGTGTCCAAAGATATTTCCGTCAGTCTGGCTTTTGTGATTGACATTCTAACAATAATGGTATAAATTGTTTTGGGTAAACGTATTTCCAGTTTCCAGAAGTTTTTAAAAAAGTTTCTGTGTTCTCAGAAAAAGCTATTATCTATCATGTAGCACCATTTTGAGAATTAGTTTATATCTCCATGAGAAATAGTTGAGAAGGACTACAACTGGGTTGATGGGACCAAAGTAAAAACTGAGTACTAATTAAAGGAGGTTAGTGGGTCAGTATTGTGAGGAGTTTGGGACAAAGCTTGGCACAAGTCTTCTGTGTGCTTGAAGGAAGTACATTCCAAGAAGTAGGGGAAGAGAGGTTTGTGCAGTATTCATCCTATAATTTAAGTCTCGTCAAGCTCTCCAGTTATTTGGGATCATTCTTCTATTTAATTTTTTTTTAAGTAATTAAAGTCCTTATTCTTAGGACTTTAGGAAATTTATTGCCTTCCCTCAAGAAGTGTTTACATTCTCATAGTTGTTGATTTTTGTCTCATTTTGAATTGTTGCTTGGGTTTCTTTTTTGATCAACTGTGGCCGTCTTTTCAC